AAGTTAGAACAAGTGCTACAAAATTGTTATTCATTACCACAATAGTGTGATTGCGACACCCCGCATGCTTACCTCTAACGACTAGCGATATTTGACGAGCAACAAACGGTTCCTCTGGTGACTCAATAGCTCCCAACCATAGGGGTTAGGTCACATGCTTACCTCTATTGTCCTTAAAGCATACAACCTTTTTGTCTTGTAAGTGTAGTTTGGGCCGAACGAACAAAATGTTGAATTGAATTTAGTCCTTATATTTTTAATAAGTTTAAAAGTAGTTGATATGAGATAACAGTAGATAGAAACAACTCTCATAACAAGTCCGTTAAAACCAAGAAAGTCATGAATTCCATATGCGTTTCCATTAACTGCTCTTGTACAAATCTTAATATGATGGTGGCAATAAAAATGACTAAATTCATTCGATTTTGAAAATGTGAAATCTTAGCAATCCTTACCTGAATAAGTTGTAAATCAATCCTACTATACTTGCCTTAACGTCAATTCTCCCACGTACAAATATGACTCGAATCGATAGCGTGTGAATAGCTTAATTAGTAGACTAATCCATGGCTCAATCCAAATTCAAGATGTTCATATCCAACCAATGTTATGAACCTCTTGCACAAATCCATCAAAGATCAACTCTTGGACTAAACTCGACCCGAACTTCGGGCAAAATATGGGCCTTTCAGGTCACGGTCATTGGTGAGGATATGGTTGAATAATCTAAACTTTACCTTTCAGGTGTGTTTGGAAAGGCTACAAGATCTTATTCCTTGTGGTAGTTTTACTTTTGGTCTCCAAATTTCATTAATTCAATATTTGTGCTAAAAAAAGAGAGAGAAGGAGAAGGAGAAGGAAACCCAATAATATAAATCAAACCAAACTTGCTATCATAAACAGGGACTCAATCATGCATTCATTGTACAAAGGAAGAATAATTCTCCATAGGGCAATCAGATCTCAAATTTGCCAATTCAGGAGGTGTAATTCTCATTCTAAGAGGCTAGTTTTTGCAAATTCAGGAGGTGAACAGTTTTGGTTTCAGCCATTTCTCTTTGCACTCATAATACAGCAACCCAAAATCAATACTTTCCCAAGCAGATGAGGATCAAAGGCCTCGAAATCCTTGAAATTTTTCATTAGAATACTAAGGAGGGTACTCAGTTTCTAACTTCTTAAGAATGGTTCTAGTAACACCCCAGTCAAAACCCCGGTATTGAAGCCACCTAACTATTCTCGATTTTCTAGTCTCTTCCGGTGCATCCCGACCTCGAAGCCACTGTTTCGAGGCTCGAATGAATAAATGATCCATTGAAATCTTTGACAAACTCACACTTGACATTTCATCACCAAACTCTTCACCATCTTCAAAAACAAGTTTAATTGCTTTCTGAGCAACTTCCCCTTCTATCCCCTTGTTTATAAGTGCCTGGTTCGAAAATTAGCCTCTCATTCTCAGTATCATAACAAAAAGTTCCCAATTGGTAAACAAGTTTCACGAGTCCTACCGACTAGCTTTCTTATCAACGATAAGAAGTGAAAAGGTTGAAATAGACGAGAAAAGAAAGAAGATAAACTCTTTAGCTGGATCGCAAATGAAAATAGAAGTACGTACCTGCTTGATCTTCCTGGGTCCCCAACTGGAGGACGACCACCTTGAATGAGAAAATCCTTCAGCATACTGGCCATCGTTGATCAACCCCCTAAAATATAATTAAAGAGCTAAGATTAATGTCATATGAGTTGCAACAGTGGTTGAATTAGACATCAAAATTCATATCTATCATGTCAAGTGTAGAAGGTTAATTCTGTTGAGAAAATATTGTTGTCGAAAAGTACTGATGGCTAAGAACATTATTATAAGTTACGTAGCCATTCAGGACCTGCTCTTGAAATCATTGATCACTGCTTCCGCTGTGCCCGGAGAGAACCTCTTGCCAAGCAATTTCTTCCTCAGCCCAACTGCAGTGAAGGCTCTGTAGAATGCAATCACAAGCTTAATATTCTTCTTGCAAAAGAAAATACATATATGGTAACAAATTACAAAAGTAGGTCAAGCAACTCATTCATGGCCATCATTTTAAAGCTCAGGGAAAAATCCTTTGGGCGCCATGAGACCAGCCCGAATCCAGCCAGGTTCTCTTTCTCATGTCCCCTTCCCAACAATTGTACCTTGTCTTGGGGCTTGGCTTTACAAGAGAAAGCCTGGCAGAGAAAAAAGTCTTTCTCTTCCCGTCCCGGATCATATTCCGGTGCGTCCACAGAAGAGGAAATCGTAATGCATCTTGCTCAGCAGGCGTAGCTTGGAGTGGGAATGTAGGGTGGGTAAGGTAAGGAGGCCGCCAGAGAGGAAGCCAAATGGCCTATTAAGCACAGCTAAGCTAATATGCGCCGGAGAAAGCCAGGTGTCGGAGGTAAGCTCTATTTGGGCCGGAGCTCCAATGGAGTCTTTGCCCTCCTCTTGACACTTTAGTATGGAAGGAATTCCAGAATTTTTTGTGGTCAAGAAATGAATGGAAATGTCTTTTCGGATTTGCCTACTTTATTTGTTTTTACTCTGTCTTCTACTTCAATTTTTTTTTCTTTTTAACTTTCTTTTTTCTTTTTTGTAGATATAGCCTAACTCAGATTTACACTAGCTGAGCCTCTTTTTTGAAACCCAAAGGCATGTAGGGATATCTATCTCCCCCTCTTGTAAATCGCTCATCTGATCTCTCGCCGCTCTAAAAATTCTATTATTACTCTCAAGTCAAATTCACCACAAAATTGCAAAATTTTTAGACCAGTACACGTATAATTCAAAGTCCTAGCAGAATATTCTCACACAAATCTGTCCAAAACTTGTTTTGTGTTACTTTGACAGTGTCATCAGTTCAATCAGATCAGTGCAGATTCCAAAATCAAAGACAGGAATCACAATTTACATACAGTTACCTTGTTGCAAGTAATTCAATTGCCAATTTCTCAGCATCTTGCCTACTTTTATTTCCCCGCAAATCAACCTTTCCATCATAACATTTCTTGCCGTAAATATTTTCCTTCTCACATACTGCCTTAGGCTCTTGCAAGTGATCATCAACATAGCTCAAATTGTCATGAAATTCATCTTCAAGTCCTAAAGATGAAAGCTTCATTGAGATAAAATACAACTTTCTATTAAAGAAAAGTAGGGAACAAAAGAAAGGGAAGATAGGAAATACTCTGAAGCCTGTTCTACAGGAAATTCCCACCAAAACAACAGATTCTGATCAATTCAACTTAATCATTCATCATGAAGAGAAAACACATATAACAACTTCAACGAATTAAAGAACTCCATATATATATATAGATATAGATATAGATATAGATATAGATATACCTGCCATACTTCCACCAGCTGAATAGTTTTTCTTCTCGTCCGGATTTTGATCACGAAATTTATCATAAAAATTACTTCTCCGTACTGCACCCCGATGTTTAACCTCAATCCTCGGAGATTTAACATCCAACTTACTACTGAAATCGTTTCCATTTACAATTTCCGGTACCGAAGGTGTTCTTGACTTCTTATCATTTAATGACCTTTTTGGAGTATACCTAACAGGACCTGACGAGCTATACACTCTAGCATTCAAGCAAGTAACAACGCCGCTCTTCTTCACCCTGGAGATAATACCTCCACCATAAACATCAACACAAGAACAAAGTACTTCAAGAATGATATTACCATATGGAATGAGAAAAACGAGAATCCAATCGCATGTTCGAATCCCTTTCTCTAGCTCGCTACATTCATTAAATTCTTGAAAACCAAACAACCGGCAGAAATAATTAAGTAAGGTTACGAAAAACTAATCACCAGGATATTGAAAGAGCTCTAAGTTGAAGCTGAATCGAGGCTCGGACGCTGAAACCCGCCATGGCTGTCATTTGTCGACGGAGTTCACGAAAATCGTCGTCGGAGTTGTGAAACCTAGAAACGATTGACGTCGCCGTTGGAACGCTGTGGTGGTCGAGAAGGGAGCACGAATGCAGTCTTCCGTTGAACTGGAACTTTCTTCAGGTGACTGCCATGGCCGCTCACTGGATGAAATAATTCTCCGATCATCAACTAAGACCCAGTTTAATAAACCATTTGGTTTTTCTAAATTAAATTAATATTTATTTATTTATTTATTTATAAGAAATCAATTATTAAATAGGCCTAAATTAATTTAGAGATGATCCTGAATTTATAAATAAATGAATACTATCTTCATTGGTATGAGACCTTTTCGGAAACTCAAAGGAAAGTGGACAATATCATTTCTCTATTAGTACCTTTTGGGGAAGTCCAAAGTAAAGCTAGGAGAGCTTATGTTTAAAGTGGACAATATTATACTATTGTGGAGAGTCATGATTACTGCATGATATTAAAACCATGCTCTAAACTTAACCATGATAATATAATTCTCAAATATCGAACAAAGAATTGTGAGCCTCAAATTGACTAAAGTTTCGAACAGAGGAATCGAGCCTCGATTATATATCTATTAATTTAACTATTTTTTTTTTAAACTTACAATTTTGTAATCACTTGATTTATGTTATATAGGACCTTATGTTTAAAAAGTTATACTTGATTCTAATGGGATATTAAAAAAAAAGATAATCGATATACGTCTTAACAAAATTAAAAGGTATTAATGAAATTTTTAAAAATTTAAAGGTATTTTTTGAAATTCTTTTAAAAGTTATAGTTTATTTTATAATAAAATATTAATAATAATGATATATTTTAGTTTTTTATTAAAAGTTTAAAAATATTATTAAAATATTTAAAATTTTAATGATATATTTTAGAAGAGTAAAAAGTTGAGGAATATTTTTATTAATTTATTCCTTCTAAAATACAAAGAATAAATTGTTATCATTTAAAATTAAGTATTTTTTTAACCTAATTTTTCATTTGAGGTTTACATTGTGACACAAATTTTTATAAGAAAAAAACTATCTCTACAAACGAACACGTTTACTTTCAACAATGTTTTATCTTTCACTCATACGTTCTTTATAAAAATAATTTGAAAATCACTCCAAGAATTTTGAGAATTATAATTAATATACAAAGAATGATCGGAGTGAAAAGATAAAGCTACAAATATATAGTTTTTTAATACTCATACCTCATGATATTACTAAAAATTTTCCATGAGGTATTGATCTACTCCTAAATTCAGGCATTGATTTGTCGGTGACTTCACTTTGATTGTGACTCTCATTCTCGACTTTGTTGGTAGTCAGTAAACTTTCAACAGGTACTCTGTTCCACCATAGTAAATCACAAAAAATCGTTTCATTGTCGGCACAAACTCTATTTAAAAAATATCTAATAGATCCTTAGTCATTCAACTATGTGTTCCAGATCCTTTCTATTTTCAATTTTGTATGTGATATAATCAAACCTTTATCTGTTCTTATATATTCTTAGCACCCTTCTTTCACACGTGGGCTCAAACGCTAACTTGACTTATGTCAAACACAAAAACTTCGAGCTCTACTAGTATTCATCTAATCATTGCTAAACTCAAAATTTTAAACTTATAACTCCCTCTACTAGTATCATCTGATCATCGCTAAACTCAAAATTTTAAACTTATAACTTCCGCTCTACTAGTATCATCTAATTATCGGTAAACTCAAAATTTTAAACTTATAACTCCCGCTCTACTAGTATCATCTAATCATCACTAAACTCAAAATTTTAAACTTATAACTCCCGCTCTACTAGTATCAATCTAATCATCGCTAAACTCAAAATTTTAAACTTATAACTCCCGCTCTACTAGCTCTACTAGTATCAATCTAATCATCGCTAAACTCAAAATTTTAAACTTATAACTCCCGCTCTACTAGTACTACTAGTATCAATCTAATCATCGCTAAACTCAAAATTTTAAACTTATAACTCCCGCTCTACTAGTATCATCTAATCATCGCTAAACTCAAAATTTTAAACTTATAACTCCCACTCTACTAGTATCAATCTAATCATCGCTAAACTCAAAATTTTAAACTTATAACTCCCGCTCTACTAGTATCATCTAATCATCGCTAAACTCAAAATTTTAAACTTATAACTCCCACTCTACTAGTATCAATCTAATCATCGCTAAACTCAAAATTTTAAACTTATAACTCCCGCTCTACTAGTATCATCTAATCATCGCTAAACTCAAAATTTTAAACTTATAACTCCCACTCTACTAGTATCATCTAATCATTGCTAAACTCAATATTTTAAACTTGTAACTCCCACTTTACTAGTATCATCTAATCATTGCTAAACTCAAAATTTTAAACGTACCTTTGTGGTTCCAGATTTTGAGAATTCCTTGGGAAGTTCTGACGAGCTTTCTTCGCCTTCAAAGCACCATCGAGAGGGAATCCCCCTATAAAATGCTCATTCTCCATTTCAGAGAAGTCGCTCTTTCTTGCATCCTCCATTTTTCCAGCAGCATTAATGTCAGTAAGTAATGTTGTTACCACATGCTCAGGCTGCCTCTGTTTGTTGTTAATCCTAGCTGCTGCTGCTACACCAGGCATCTGCTGTTGCTTTGCTTTGCTTTTCCCTTCATTTTTGCTTCTCCTTGCACCACCTTGCATTGTAGTTACAGACTGCTTCAACTGTTGTTCATCTTCATTGTTTTCTTGGCAAACCAGTTGTTTCTTCTTTGTTGAAGCCATTGTTTTTTGGATACCAACCAATGCATCAGAGACGTTTTCATGCTCTTGAGAACTGATGTTTACTCTTCCTCGATTATCGATTACTTGAATTGAGGCCATCGACTTGTTAACGGGCGCTTTCGTCGGAAATGAAGGCTTTGATATTGGTTGGTTTTCGTTCGTTTCCGTTCGTACCTTGCTTCTTATAAAGGCACCTCGATCGGTTGATATTGATCTCCTAACTGGTGGAGATGGTGACCTTGGGTTTCCAGAGCTGGAACTTGTTGTTGATCTCTCTTCAGCTAATAATGGCATTTTTATTGCATCTTTCTCTGTGAATGTAGAGGGAAATCTTGACCTTCTTTGCTTTCCTGAAGAGTAGCTTCTAGCCTGATATTATCAAATGTTGTTAAAACACATAATATGAATGAGAGTAATGGTTCTTTTATAAATTGACATTTTTTTTTTACCTCCAAAGTTTTAGCTTCATCCAAAGGCCTTTGACAATTTTCAGGCTTAGCACCTCCATTGGTACCATGTCTTAGAACACGGGAGGGAGAGGCAGCTCTCGGCTTTGGATTTTCTACGAAGGCTCGAGCGTTTCCACTTTTTAGTTGTTCAAGCTCTGCATCCTTCCTCTCCAATGCCGATTTGAGATTTGATATCTGAACATGAATATGAAGCACAAAGTTGTTAAGTGCTCGTTTACATGAAAGGAAAAAGAAGAAAATAGAATGGTCAGAACTAACCTCATCTTTAAGTTCTCTAATTTGACCATTTTCTTTATTACAACGAGCTGCACCTAATTCTATAGAGGCAACCCTCTCAGCAAACTTAAGCGTGCTAATTGTCTCTCCAAGTGCATCAACTTCGGGGTTTATGTGTACAAACATCAAGGTCTTAGCATGTCCACCTGTTCGTTAAGGAAAATGTTAAACATGTCATAACTTAATTCGAATCAAGAACGAGTGTCATTCGATTTTGACAACATTTATAACGAAAAGCCAAGAACGAGTACGTCTGACAGAAAGCTCGAAAGGTTACCTAAAGAATCCTGCAAGAGTTGAGTTAGTTTGCTATTCCTGTAAGGAATATGTGAACTCTTTTGTGCAAGAGCAGAAATCACATCTCCAAGTGCAGAGAGGGATTTGTTTATATGTTGTGCTTCCTTTAGTCTGTCGCCGACAGCTTCAGATTTGTCCACTCTTTCACTCCCAGCTAGATCTACTAGATGAAGACACCCTCTAAGATTGGATCCGGAGACCAAATCTCTTCCAAGTACATGAACTGTTAGAACACTACAACAAGATGAAGATGCATAAACATTTAGAGAGGGTCCAGATTGCTCCCGTGTTAGCTAATTTAGAGGATGATCATAGATTTATAAGTAAGGAATACATCTCCATTGGTATGAGAGAGCTTTTGGGGAAGTCCAAAGCAAAGTCATGAGAGCAAGCTCAAAATGGACAATATCATATCATTGTAGAGAGTCGTGATTCCTAACATGGTATCAGAGTCATACCCTTAACTTAGCCATGTAAATAAAATCCTCAAATGTCGAACAAAGAAGTTGTGAGCCTCGGAGGTGTAGTAAAAAAAGTAACTCAAGTGCCGAAAAAATGGTGTACTTTGTTCAAGGGCTCCAAAGAAAGGAGTTGAGCTTCAATTAAAGGGAGGCGGTTCGATAGCTCAATAGACTTCAAGAGAGTCTCTATGGTGTACTTTGTTCGAGGGGAGGATTGTTGAGGATTGTTGGGAGTGAGTCCCACGTTGACTAACTTAGAGGATGATCATGGGTTTATAAGTAAGGAATACATCTCCATTAGTACGAGGCCTTTTGGGGAAGCCCAAAGTAAAGTCATGAGAGCTTAGGCTCAAAGTGGACAATATCATACCATTGTGGAGAGTCGTGATTCCTAACACAGATATGTAGGATTAAGAGTCAAAAGGAGAAAAGCTTCTACCTATGTGAACGACTACTTCTCTCATTTAAAGCCGTAGCACCAACAGCTCGATTCTTCTGGCCAACTCTCATCAAACCAAGAACATCTTGAGTACATGTCACAGGAACCCAACTTGCATCAGGCACATTGAGGCCACTGAGTTGAGAGTTGTTTCGTATATCTAATGTTCAAGTGGCTAAGAAAACCAATATAATTGTAGAGATATTCAACAAAAGAAGAAAGGTCCACTTTGCTAAAAGGATATTTTCTGTTCGAGCCATCACTGACTAACAGATCTCTCACTTGCTCATTGTATATTTCAATCATTTGAACTCCAACTTCATACTTTATCATATCCAACCTTGCATTTGATATCTGGAATAAGTCATTGAGAGCTCGATAGTTAACGCCCCATGTGTCCTCAGTCATCAAATCTGGGCCACTCTGCAAGAAAATAAAAACTGGTTTACATGTAGTATGTCACAAAAAACAATATCAAATTCTCCTCTTCTCTAAAGGACGAAAAATACTAAGAAATTGGTGCTTACCATTGTATACGTCTTTCCTGAGCCAGTTTGTCCATATGCGAAGATACAAACATTAAAACCATCAAGAACGGATCTGATCAACGGTTGAGTGTCGATATATATTTGTTCTGCAAATATTTGTGGAAACTTATCGTAAGTGACATCTAATTGCAGATAAAGTGACATATTATATTCAGCTATTAGTATATGATTGAAGTCCATATGGCACATATGTTGAATATGGGTAACTTTAGTTATAAATCTTAATTATCAATATACCTTGGGTAACATTAGTTCCATAAACTTTATTGAAGGAAAATACTCTTCTTGCTTCTTTGCCTTGCTTTAGAGGATTCGCAATCATAATGTTCCCATTTTCTCCAATATAGTCCACTGTAGAATGCTGGTTTGATTGTCCCGATAAGAAAGGCCTCACTCTACAGTACACCCTTATCGTTCCTGTGTTTACAAAATGACATTTGGTTCAGCACTCAATTCAATTATTCTCATCACCAAATAAGATGTCATTTTATAAACAATAAGGACATCCACACAGCAAGAACACGTTTCTTAAAAATAAACGTTTTTTAAATCCATGTATGTTTACAATATCCAACCTGTGTTCAGTGTGTTTCCTCAACGACTATTTGTGTGTGTCTAATAAGTGTCTGACATGTCTCCAATCATATGTCCAATGTATGTCTTTTATACTTAATAAATGATATGTTCGATAAGTGTCGAAGTGTAGATACAATATCCAAACTACAGCATCCATGTTTTATAGTGTGTATCATAAAATGAATGAAGTAAATTATTATTTACCTTTAAGGTCTTGAACTTGATTGTAAAGTATACGATTCTCTTCCAAGACCTTGTGGTACGAAGAGGAAGCCATCTCAAGGCCCTTGAGATGATGTTCTGGGAAAATAAACAGAATATAACAATAGTAATAAGTTCATTCTACTTCAAATGATGCAACTAAATAAGGAAAAGAAGAACAAAAAAGGTTAGTTCTCACCTAGCCTTTCAACTTCTTCATTCCATTGAGACTGTATGTGTTTAACTTCAAGTTTGGTTTCTTGAAACGCTGATTTTAGCTCCTGAAGAAAACAAAATCAAGGTATATTAGAAAAGATGAAAACTAAAATTGGCTTGTCTATGAGAATTCTGTATATTGACAAAATCCACACAAAATACAGTATGCTATCGCATTAAAACCTGAATCTGATTCTGTTGAGCATGAACCAGTTCTTCATGGTCAGCAGGAGCCCTATGAATAACCTCACGTTTTCCTCCACAAACACAGAATTTCGAGAAGTCGCTTGATGCCATATTCGCTCTTTGGTTGATGTATCGGGATATTGCTTCAATGAATTCAGATTTTGATGATGAACTTAAATCACTTTTCAATATTTTCTTCAGAAAGAGTCCAAGCTGTAGAAACAAATAGATAAAACTTAAGAACGCCTTAAACTACCATGCATTTTGTTGAATGTTTGCATCGATTACCTGAGTGCCTTGAGACACAAGCAGTGCAGAGAAATCCTTAACAACCTTGCTAAGTAATGCATCAATTACCTACAATGTTTATAATACGTGATGTCAGGTTCAGCGTTAGTTTGAGCCGTTTAAGCTTTCGAGTGGATTTTTTGAAGCAAAAGAATGGTGTATAACACAAAAAGAACCTTACCTACCATTGCATTTAAAGGAAAATCTTCAATCCGATTACTCTCTCGGAGGTATGCTTGTAAGAGTATAAGTCCAAAACGATCAAAAAGAAAAGCAAGAACACTGCAAGTTCTGGATTCTTCAACTGAAACTTCATTAGAAAGATGGAGGAAGTCTAGTAGCTGCTCAAACTGAGACGAATCCGATTCATCTGTACTATCACTTTCAGTTATGGAAGGTGAACTTCTGGCAAGAGATGTGATCCGTACAGTTCCTCCATATCTCCAAACCCCAATCCCACCAGCTTGCTTCCACTCATAATATCCTTTCAAGCAGAGAATACACTCTACAACTTTTCCTGAAGTACCTCCCTGCATGCACCAAATTCCAAGCAAAACATGAACATTCTGAGTAAAAATTTCCAATCAACTCAAGTAAACTGAATTATATTGAGATAATGTGATTCGTGACCAAGAAAAAACTACTAAACAGAAGTTAATTAAGGTGTGGAGCAAGAAGGTTAGAACCTTTTCCAAGTCAGAAGCTTCAAACGTCAAGAGCTTCATGTCTTTAACCGCCTCCAAGAAGTTCCTCGTGTTCTCAAAATATTGAATTGCAGATTGTGCTGCTCCTTCTACTGACTGTACAGTTACAACTGGACTCTCCACCACCTATAATAAAGAAAAAAAACAATAAGAACTTCATTTTTTTCACCCCCACTTGAACTATTCCAACTCAGAATATACACGAGGAATGAAGTCAATAACATCAAGAAGTATATTATGACCTTAAGAACAGCACCAGGATTGACTTTGTTGAGGACATTGCAGAGAATAAGACCATTGCGAAGTGCAAGACAGAATTCTTCTTCGGAGGGCTCCTTCGATAGTACTCCTGATGCTCCATGATCCATTTGGCGTAGCCATCCTGCCGCTTGATTCCTCCTAAATGCTGAAAAACATCACATTTACAAGTAGCAATAAGAAAATATCAGCAACAGATAAGTGAGCTTGATCTCTTCTGAACCCATTTGGCTCCATTGAGCCAACTAAGTTTTAGTTTCATCTCAAATTCTAAAAAAAATCAATATGATATGAACATACATTTTAATTAAAAATACCTTAATCCTAAATATACTAACTTATAAAATGGAAATTCTGGAGCCACAACAAATTGCCCAAACCAAAATATACTGCAAGTTACCAATCAAATCAAAACTTAGGATAATACATGGAAGTATAAAATTGGAACTTGACGAAATTCAAAAACGCTTCAAAAAAAAAAAATTAAGAGATGAAAAATCCAGGGGAAGAATATAAGTCAATGGACCACTTTTTTTCTTTCTTTTTGTTGGTCATTAATCACATTTTTCAATCAAGCTTGTCTTCGATTCCTAAGGACAACTCTTTTACAGCCAAATTCAGCCAATGTAGAAACTTCAATATAATTGAGTAATCTGACAGCGTGCGGGTAATAGTTAATGGGAAGAAGACCCTACGGGGTCTATCTCTCTACCAATATAATTATTTCCCCTCCATTAATAACGCCTAAAGGCAATGGCTCAATGATGAAGAACAGAGCTCCTTCCCTCTCAAAAATATATCTCCCAGTTCTTCACCTACTACAATTGTTGGTCAAAAAAATACTTCTCTCATTAATGATTAAGCCTCTATACATACACAAAATATTTAATTTGATTAGGATCAAATCACTACAAAATTGAATCATTTTACATGATAAAATATGATAATTTTGATGAAATCTTACATGGTAGAAAAGATTAGAAGTGTGGGGATCAAAGGTGTTTTTAACCATAATTGTTCTGTTCCAAAAGATTAAAAAGCAAAAAAAAAAAAAAAAAAAAAAAAAAAAAAAAAAAAAAAAAAAAAAAAAAAAAAAAAAAAA